GAAAATGAAGAAGCTAAAGTGCTCTGGGACTTTAGAATTCAGACAGACAAGCACCTGCCATGGAACACCCCAGACTTAACAACTGTTGATAAGAAAGTCAAAAAAGACAAAAAAGTCTGGATAGTGCACATTGCAATACCTGGAGACAGCAGAATAGAAGAGAAAGAACTGGAGAAAATCACAAAATACAAAGACCTGCAAAGAAGAAGAAATAGAACAACTGTGGCAAAAGAAAGCAAAGATAATACCAATAGTAATAGGTGCCTTGGATGCAATCCCAAAACATCTGGAGTACCACTTGAAGACCATCGGCATTGACAAAATCACCATCAATCAATTACAAAAGGCAGCTTTACTTGGAACAGCTTACATCCTGTAACAATACCTTTACCACCACCAAACAACAACATCTACAAGCCCCTGCCATGGAACACCCCAGACTTAACAACTGTTGATAAGAAAGTCAAAAAAGACAAAAAAGTCTGGATAGTGCACATTGCAATGCCTGGAGACAGCAGAATAGAAGAGAAAGAACTGGAGAAAATCACAAAATACAAAGACCTGCAAAGAAGAAGAAATAGGACAACTGTGGCAAAAGAAAGCAAAGATAATACCAATAGTAATAGGTGCCTTGGATGCAATCCCAAAACATCTGGAGTACCACTTGAAGACCATCGGCATTGACAAAATCACCATCAATCAATTACAAAAGGCAGCTTTACTTGGAACAGCTTACATCCTGTAACAATACCTTTACCACCACCAAACAACAACATCTGCCTATCCTAGGTCCTTGGGAAGGACTCAATAGGTGGATAAAAATGCCAAATCCAGTCTAAACATCTGGCTGACTGTGCAACCAACAATATAATAACTATAAGCATTGTTACTCCTGTTACTCTACCTGAAAATCTTTGATAAGTTGTTCTTACCTTCTTGCCACATTGCAACAGTGGCTGATGACCTTTGTCCCACTCATGCTAAATGGACATCCCAGCAAGCAGCAATAATCACTAACTTTGTTAGAAGCAAACCAGCCAAGTCTCTTTGCTCAGCAATAGTGGAGGGTAAGTTAGATGATATTGTATTGGCTAATTTTAATAACTTAACCAAACTATTTCAATCATTGTTAACAGCCCCTCAATCTGTTACAATTAAGCATGATCCAAGAACATGTCATACTTGGTTCAGCCACAAATGCTGTGAAGCCTGGAATTCTCTAAATTGCCATTTTAATTTATATAAAGAGAATCCTGGTTCTTGTTCAATTTCTGAGTTAGTGACATTGAAAAAACAGTATAAAGAGTTAATTTGTCCAAAAAAAAAAAAAAAAGGAATGCTATGAGGGTATCCTGGCAATGCTTGATAGCAGCTGAAAAATCCTGTCATCTTCTGTAGGTTGGTAGCCCCATCTTTTTCTAACAATATTTATAGCTCTTCACCATATATACCAGCCAGTATATGTGAATGCCACTTTGTCACCTTATATGGTCAAGCGGACAATTTCTTAACAGATTTGGAGTTGGATGTGTCCTCTCTTCCCCATTGGCCCCCATGCTCAGAGATCAGAGTCCAGTCCCTCATGCTCAGAGATCAGAAATATAATTAAACAGTTCAAATCAGGGAAAGCCCCTGGTTCAGATTTTCTAACATATGAAGTAGTAAAAAATAATTTGGAATGATGGATCCCAATGCTAGCTTAACTTTTCACAGCAATAGACCAGTCGGCCATGATACCAAAGGACTGGGGCTTGGCTATTATAATACCAATATATAAGAAGGGCAAGAGAGATGATCCAGCTAACTACCACCCATTCAGTATGTTAAGTCAGATCAGCAAAATGTATACTAAACACCTACAGGAAAAACTAATTGATTGGCTTGAATCTGAAGACATTCTGATGGATGAACAAGCTGAATTTAGAGCACATTGATTAACACTAGACCATGCTTTGGTGCTGCAACATCTAGTAGAAAAGTACACCCACAAATCAGGACAATCCCTTTATGCAGCATTTATTGACTTTAGGTCAGCTTTTGACACAGCATCTAGAACTAAACTGTGGCATAAATTAAAAAAATATCACAATTGACAAACACCTACTTCTGCTGCTCACCAAAATACACAAGAACACAAGACTGAAGGTCAGGTGCAGTAATCAAGGATATGTCACAAAGGAAATACCCATAAGGAGGGGAGATAGACAGGGATATGTATTGGCCCCAGTATTATTCAATTACTATATAAACTCATTGGTCCCTCATCTAAGTAGCTCTACTTTTTGTCCCGCAAAACTAGCCCAAAGACATGTCAATTTATTACTGTATGCAGATGATGCAGTAAATCTGTCATTAACTTCTGTTGGCCTCGAAAGAGCTCTGAGATCACTTACATGTTACTGTACTGAACTAATGATAAATTACACCAAGACTAAGATACTTACTTTTTCTAAATGCCCAAAACAGAGAAGTTGGAACTTAGGTAGGCAGCCCATTGAGCAGGTTAAGATATTTAGATATCTAGCGATAGTTTTTCAAGCTTCAGGAAGCAGAAATGCCCACCTGGAGTATGTTTCCTGTAATGCACAAAAACCTGCATTAGTTTTTCTCCAAACCGATTATTTTACCAGAGGAGTACAGTTTATCCCTGCTGCAATTAAGTTGTTTGCAGCTAAAGCCCTAGCACAACTGATATATGGGACTCAACTAGGACCATATAACAGCATAGTTACCTTAGAAAGAATACAAACAAAATTTCTAAGAAACATCAGGTTACCCACTGTGTTCCAAATGCTGTACTTCAGTGGGAAGCAGGAGTCAGCAAACTTGAATCCAACCTCTGGATAAATATCTTTATCTAATGGTTAAAATTACATCACAACCCCAGTGGAGTGACCCATCTAACATTGGCAGATAGCTTCAAATCCTCTTGGGAAGTAGCCATCCAAAAGCAACTAAGTCTAAGGTTTCTCCAGTGATGCCATTTTAACCTTAGAGTCAGAACAAGCCAGATCAACATTAAGACAAAGGATCTTAGATATAGAAGGCCAAACAGAAGCTGCTGCCTTTTCTCACAATATAATTGCTAGAAACCAAATCTTAGCACCCAAGCCAGCTTCATATCTATATCATATTACAGTCCCCAAATTCAGGACAGCCGCATCTCTAGCCTGATTTAATGTCCTCCCCACAGCTGTTTGGAAGGGAAGTATAGGAAAATCCCATATGAAACCCGATACTGCCCCTGTGACACGGGTGCCATAGAAACCACAGCCCATGTCCTTTTGTATTGTCAGTTCTACAAGGATATTCACCACCAGTTGATTACCCCCATTTTATTTAAATTTCCAGGACACTCTAACAATTTTTATTTACGCTCTCTGTTAAACAAGCAAGATAAATATCTCTCTCTAAAAGTAGCAAAATTCTTTAAAAGCTTCACCCACAAATGGTTGCTAACAGTTATTGATGTTAGGGGATAATTTTGTTTTGTTTGTTTTATAGAATGTATTTTTATTGGTCAATGACCAAAATAAAGTTTCTGTCTGTCTGTCTATAAGCAGTGTCATGACTGAGTTGCCAAAATTATTCATTGGAAACTTTGCCAGAGGTTTGGATTTGAATGTAGCAAGAACCAAAGCAGTGTCATGACTGAGTTGCCAAAATTATTCATTGGAAACTTTGCCAGAGGTTTGGATTTGAATGTAGCAAGAACCACTGGAACCATCAAGTTGGGAAGATTTTGGAAAATGAGTGGGTTAAGATCTTATGGGACTTTAAAATCCAAACAGACAGGCGTCTTGTTCATAGCATGCCTGATATAACAGTCACTGAAAAGAAGAAAGTCTGGTTCATTGATGTTGGTATACTGGGTGATGCTAGGATTGAGGAAAAGCAATCTGAAAAATTATGAAATATTGGGACCTGCAGATTGAATCTGAACACCTGTGGAAAAAGAAATCCACTGTTATACCAATCATGATTGGAGCCCTTGGAGCAATACCTAAAGGACTCCCTGAATATTTGGAAATTTTGAATTTATTGGACTTCAACACCCTAATTTTACAAAAAAATACACTACTTGGAACTGCCTATATTCTCAGATGCTACCTTAATAATTCTTAGGTCCTTGGTCAGGACTTAAATTATTACGTTTTCACCAGTCTTTGTGAATCTAATTGTAGATTAGTAATAATAATGATAATAATAATAATGAAGAAGAAGAGGAAGAAGAAGAAGAAGAAGAAGAAGAAGAAGAAGAAGAA